ATCATATTTAAGGACACTGGAAGAAAATAGGTGTGAGTGGGACGTTGCTTTTTTCTCTTTCTCTTTCTCTTTCACTTAAAACCGAAACACTTATTTCTTTTGTTTGATAGGAGACACTTGATTTGGATGTAATTGAGCCAAAACGATCCTTTGTTCCCGTCCTTTCGATTTTCAGGAGTGCATCCGAAATGCCAATCGAAGACCTACAAAACTGTGCAATCTCCAGATTTTTTAACTTGTACCGTTCAAGAGTTGTAGACATTTTGCTGTGAGTTTCTACTCAATTTTTCGAGAAAACTAGGTGAAAATTTCCCTTTTTTCGCTATATTTTGATGAAAATTTGCTTTATACATCAAGCTCAAACGTTCAATTTTTTGAATAAAATTCAATAGAAACTATTACTCTCACTTATCAGAAATATCTTTTATGTATGATTCGATGTGCCTTGTTCTTCTGTTTCTAATAGTGAAGATCGTATGTCTCGATTATGTTCATATCAAATGTTATTCAAAACACGTTCATGCCTTCTCTTCTTTCAAAATTGATGTTAGTTCTATTTATATGTAATCAAATATTCTCCATAGGCTTGTGCATCGTGATAGATAACGAAAATATGATTTCCATCCGTGGTTGAATCAAACCCAATAGGTTGCGTTCTCATTGAACTGTTTCCAGGGATTGTTGTTCCAATAAGAACACGCGCTACAAACATACATCGTTCGCTATTGGCTTTAGGAGTAGCATAATCGTGACTGTAAGCTGCGTTTGTCGAAAAATAAACACTTTGGCCATATGCAGTACCTAAAGATAAACTACATGAGATTGAAATAGTCAAAAGAACAGTGGATTTAGTGTTACCATGCACTCCAGCAAAACTTCTGTTAAAACAACTTTTGATGATTGAATCCGCTGCATCGTGAGAACAACCATGATATAAACGTCTCTCCGTATTCTTTTTTAGTTTTCTACAAAATCCTTTGCTGTGTGCTATATATTGTATGTACCACTGTTCATTTTGAATTCGTTCAATTCTTACCACTTGTTTACATTTTCCTTTCATTGCTTGTTGAAACATGGTACAGAGTGATTCATACTCGGGAGTTGTGTTCGATACCGTAAATCGTAGTGTACCTTCTGTCGATCGAACCCAGGTTTCTGGTAGCTGGTACTTAACAAATGCTACCGAATCTAATGAAATACACATCGATGGTTAAGTGATTTTCCTCGATTCTCATTGCAGTAGCAGCCACAAGGCGGCGAAGTCGAAGTTTTATTAGAAAAATTTTGAAGACTGCCCAGCTTCTCCAAAGAATTGGAATTGACCGCAAAGTTTGCAATATAGTTCCTATGGGTTTAAGATGTGAAACACGACGGTGTCGTTTTCAATGTACGTATAGATCCTCGTTATGTTGATCACGATCCACGAGAAGATCAAACGAGCAGTATATCGAAAAGTCTGCCACCGTACGTGAGATTTTAATTCAAATTTTAATCAATGCTCATTCCCAATCGTATTTTCGTGTTTTGCAAAACAGGGGGAATTGAGACAAATATATGAAAATCACAATATTCATCGACATAAAGCTATTATATTATAAACCTGTACTATAAATTGACTTAAAATCGCTATGATGAATGTCTCAACCATCTTACGAGCAAACGGTGACTCTTCGCATGCTCTCATACACTTTACAAGCATTGTCACACATTTTGTGTGCTCGGAGATCATAGTCAAGGATTTCTAGCGGAATTATTGTCGAAGTGACGTAGAATTGACCTCGCTCACAAGTTTTGTTCATCTTTTTACTCAATTTCATTGCGCTTTGAAGCCATTAAAATTGGAGCTCTATGTTGAAGTTCTGCTATGATTGTGTGATGTTTACATCGCCATATGATGTGTGCTAGAAATCGCATAATAGATGCTCATGCATAGGGTCACAGAGTGTGATCTAAAAGTTACCTCGAAGCATCTGTAGGATAGTGACGTCCTTGTGCATTCATTTTTTATTGACCGTTTCAAGTTCGCATGAAAAGATAGTGACAGATATACGCAGTCGTAGGTTTAGATCGTTGAATAAAGTGATTTATCCATTGTTGTCTCAATTCTAGACGATGTCCAGTAAATTGTACTTTTCGCATAATGTGGACATCGCTGGACTTTGTTAAGTCTATTCGAAAAAAACTTCACTATAAAGTTTCTTGAAATTCTTCTCACTCAAATAATAAAACATGTGAAACCGAAACAGAAGAATGTTAACTTTACCTGGTTTCACAGCTGGAATTTCTTTACAAAATGCCTCATAAATATTCTGATACTCGGCTTGCACTATGATTTTTACCAACAATGATTCTTTGTGCAATTGTATCTGATGTATTATTTCTTTTACCATTGTCGTGATTACAAGATTTGTAGAACATTGATGGTCGCCACAGCCGATGGCCGGAAATGCTACTGAAGTAAAACCATGTTCAATAACATATTTGATAGCATTGCTTATAAAATCAGCGATTGATTTCCGAAGTTTAGCTTCATCTTGTTCCGGTCTCCACTTAATAAGAAAGATTTTTTTACAAGGTAGTCCACCAGATGGAATAGATATTAATATGGGTTGCGGATTTTTTCTAAGTTCAGCATTATACGCAGTTCTTGCTGCCGTGCCAGCCGCATCTAATATTGCATTCTTCAGATTTACTGATGATGAGGTTCCTATAATAACATCAACCTATAAAAATACAAGGCAAACAACAAAATCAAAATTTTTGTATTCGTAATAGTGTTCGTCCTATTACGTTTTGGGCTGTTATGTCTCCTTTTTCAACCTCAATTGTTCCTTTGCCTATGTCTGAGAATCTTGTTTTGATTTCTTGAGGTGACCATAATTTTGCAAATAATCCAGCAGCCGCACCCATCAATGCAATTTGATTAGAAACTTGAAACCGAATATGATTGGCAGATTGATTGTCGGAAGTTTTTTTTAATGCGTAATCGACGTTGGTCAGATCTTTTCCCCAAAGCAATTTATCTGTAAATGCGCTGCTTTGTCAACAATTTTTGTCTGAATACTGGAGGGAAGTAGAGAGAGAAGCTCGTTTATGGCGCGATTTATTATGGATTAATCAAATATACGCGTGAAACTTGTTTGATTTTGAAAACGTTTTGTCGAATAATATCTTCTTGCTATGATATCTTGATAACGATGCTATATCTATCAACAAAATGAATTATGTCTTCGTGCACGTGGTTTGTTTCTTCCTTTGAAGGTTTTTTTCATATTTCTCTATATTTAACAGCTAATAATGCGATAAGAAGAAAGTCATAAAAGTAGGAGCGACAATTCGTCTTCCTAATCATATATCGAATACACTTGCCAGGAGAGAAAGAAAAATACTAAGAAATTTAAAAAGAACCAATATTCATCTATATAATGTTCAGTATGTGTCTGTCTCTGTGACTGTGCCGGGTCAAAGGTCAAGGGTTAATGGTCATACAACGCTATAAGGGGAAGGCGCCAAGGGCTATTATATGCGGGTAACTATAGGTCCTCAAGGGCTATTATATACAGACACCAACAGTTTCTGAAGGGCTATTATATAGAAGTACCAGAGGTCCTCAAGAGCTATTATATGGAGGTACCTATAGGTCCTTATGGGCTGTCATGTAGAGGTACCCATAGGTCCTCATAGGCTATTATATGCAGGTACCATAGGTCCTCAAGGTGTATCCTATGGAGGTACTCATAGGCCCTTAAGGACTATTATACAGAGGTACATATAGGCTCTCAAGGGCTATCATATGAGGGCACCCATGGATCCTCAAGGGCCGTTCTATAGGGTACTCATAGGTCCTGAAGAGTGTAAGAGAATAAAAAAATAAGGCTACAAGAGATACAAGGGATATAAGGAGATAAGGGCATAAGGCTGCATGGACTATAAACATATGTGCGATATACACCCATGGGCATAGTCTTTCCCTTCACCTCTTTTTTCGGCAAGGTTTTCTCTACTATTATAAGGACAAAATATGGCGTTGTTCGGACCGATTAGGGGTTATTCGGGTTCTCTTTTATTTGGCCCGAACAACACCATGTTTTGTTCTTATAATTGTAGAGAAAGTCTGTCTGAAAAAAAGAGGTGGGGGAAAGACTTTTGCCCAAGGGTGTAAGAGTATGAGGCCGTAAGGCTTTGATCAGAGATGGAACCGGTACCGGTTCGGTCTGGATTTTAGAGCGGCCGGTCTATCGATAGACCGGTCAATTATCGGTAGACTGGCGATCGGCCGATCTATCTTTTTTCTTTCTTAGTTTTATTGCATAAACTAGCTCAAAACTGCATGATGTTAATGCTGTCTTGTACAGCATACGTATGAAAATTTCGGTGGAAGTTGATTACCTCAACTATCCCTATACAAAAGATAGAATTTGTATTGGTAAAAAATGTGTACCGGCCGGTCTACACTCTAAAAAATTTCCGTATCCTAGGAAACCAAAACGGGTTCGGAAACCCAATCGAAAAACCTGTTCCGTTTCCGAGAGGATTTCCGAAGACTGAAAGCGTTTCTGAAAATACCCTTTGGATTTCCGAACGTTCGGAAACCCAAAGGTTTCCGACAATACTCAATTGAACACTCTAAAAGTATTCTAGAATACCTTTTTCTTGAGGGTGTGGGTGGATGTGGGTGTTAATAGAGAACCAGGACAAGGAGCTACACCCACACCCACACCCAGATAAATCCGTTTACATTCGTCTTTATTAGTCAAAAGTTAAAAACTATTGCTTAGCAATTCTGTTTAACCTCGAACACCGTCTTCGCGAAAGTTTACTGTATAATATTGTCTATTTTTATCAGTAAATTTCATTACAGTACATGGTATTTGATCATCACTAACTTTTCGACCATAGATAAAAATTTTTTGCCAAGCAATCCATGATGGACTCTTAATTGATTTTATTTGAATGAAACGAGTATTTTCTAAGGGTGGATTGAACGTTGATGTTAGCCACTGCTCTGTACTCGTATAACCACTGAATTCTTTTACTAGTGTTACGTCATCAAGATTACTACCTGCATACACTTGATGCAGTGTATTTCCTGGTGGTTGATGCATTATCAGCAGACGAAAGCAATAGAGACGGTGTGTATCACTTTTTAAATCTCACTGAATCCACCCAGGTGCAAATAACCCAGAGTTCCACACATTGTCACTATCTGAATGGATCACACCGTGTGCATGTTGTTCAGCTATGCCGTACGGCTGGTAATAACTTGAAAACGTTACATTTGCTTCTCTGGAAATCAATAATTCTGTAACGTTGTTCATTCCAAAATAGTCACAGACATTTTCATTTTCAGTCCTTGATGTGACAATCATCAAGAATACCAGACAAAATTTAATCATGTACTGTATTTTCATTTTTCTTCAAATAAATTTAAAAGCAGTAATGATGCTCACCGAAGAAAAAAGCAATTTAAATATCTTCTGAGAAGATTTAGTGATAACAACTAATTATAAAACCAATATTTTACTTCCCTCTTTTCTTATCTGCTTAAGTTACTCTCCTCAATAATATTTTATATGATCAAATATTTACTCATCTCGTTCAAAACGGTCCGTAAACATTTCGAAAATGGTTGCTGTTGCTATGCTCGTTACGATGCATCGTAAAACAGGCCAAGACCCCAGGTCAAACAAGCCCGGTCGTAAACAGTCGTTTTTGGTCGTATTTCGCCAGTTTGGTAGCGACCGTATTACGGCCGTATTTCATCGTATTATAAATGAGTGTAAACGGTCGGACACTCGATTTTCAGGCCGTTTACGGTCGTTACTAGGGGTGGCACTTTATCTTTACTTTACTTAGTGAAGTAAAGTTGGGTTACTTTACTTTACTGGATAAAGTAAAGTAACAGTACTTTACCCGAAAAGTAAAGTAAAGTGAAGTATCTCTTACCTTACAGAAAAAGTTAGATGAAATAATATAAGATAAAATAAAGCATGTAGTTGATGATTATTGGTTTATTAGTTCATTATGACACATTAAGCACATTCTAATACGTCAAAAGTTGCGTCGAAATACGGACCGATAGTCCCAAATAATCTGAACCTATTCTTAATATCTTGAGAATCAGCATTGAGCTCTCACTATTTTTCAAAATTTTATTTTCTACTTTATCACAGCTCAATTTTTCACACCTAAGGTTCCATTGAGGTGTCGAAAAACAAAATTGTATCGCTGTCCTACGACAAATCTTTATAATTCAATAGTATCAAGTGAGCTAATTACAAATATTGCATTTGTTGTCTAAAGTAATTAGGTAATAAGAACGATAGAAAGGATCTCCTGAAAGCCGTAAAAACTAGCTTTTGACCAGAAACTTCATTAAAATACGGCTCTATTTCGTCGACAACAGATTCATTTGACACAGAATTCTTTTCTCTACCAACAACTATGAGAACGTGTTGAATATTCGATTCATTCTATCGATAATTGGCAAATACTGCCACGATTAGATCTGATTATCTCTCATAATATTTTGTCAGCCTTACGAACTCATAGTCTCTACAGGTGCCATGGTCAGATTTCTTTACCAGGAGTGCAACTAAATGTGCTCTTTCTAGTGACAATATTTTCCACGTGAAAATTCATATCTAGTAAAGTACTTTTGCTCACAATCCTCTTGAGACTTTCTGTCCCCACCCCTTTTTGACTAATATTTTATGGTTTTCGAATAGAAAAATCCCATTTGACTCCACAAAAGTGTCATATCTGAATTTAAGACAGAAAACTGAGTAGGTCTATGTGGACAGAGATGCCCACAGGGTTGGGTTGATATGAGTACCTTTTGGTTTAGGGCTTCCATTGGCTAGCCCTAACCCAGGCTGGTGGCTTGATGAGACCATTTACAATGGCGGACAAAAGTAGCCCCCTACCCCACTCCCAAAGTGATATTATATTCCATGATTTCGAACTGATCTTTTGCGGGAATGTCGGCCTCATTGAACCCTAATCGTAAACACCATCACGCCTTCAATTGATTGATGTTTACTGAAGATATCACTTGTACATCGTCATCACCTTATCAAGATCATATCTCGATCATTTTTCGACATTCACTTTCTCGCAACCCGTCATTCAAAAGCTCAGGAATGCAGATATCATTAGTAAAATTTTGGTGGGAAATAGCGGAGATCCGAAGTTCGTACTGAAAACTTCTACCAAGTAGAAAATCCTTTTTTCAGTTTGGAATCGATAACTTGAGCTAGAATTTATCAATGCAACTTAAATTTCAGCAATGACTCATAATCGACCCACAAGTTAGCGATAAAATATTCAGAGCCATAGCTCTATGCAGAGCTGAGATAGAGCTATTGAAAGAGTTTACCACGCCACAGCTTGTTTATCAATGGAGCTACGGTATTATGCGGTGAGCTTTGGACCCAAGCAACTAAGTATGCAGAGGGACAACTAGCATCAGATGAACTCAAAAATTCATTTTAGGAGGAAGAAACTGTGAACTAAAAGTTTTTAAGAAGGTATTTCTCTTCAATTTCTTCAACCCTTCCCCTCTTGTAGCGTATCTATGCACGATATACTTCTCTGTTACGAAGCATTTCACCTCAAAATCATTTTTCTGACTTCAGAGAGTTTCTGCTTCACGAAATCAGCCTTTTGTACATACCCTCTGAATTATTCTGACCAAAAAAGAGTATTTCCGGAAAGATGAGCGCAAATTCACTAATATTTGACAGTTCTATTTGCTTAACGGCCATGCCAACGGTTTATCGAAGGCATGGAGCGAAACTATCATCTCAGAAGCTTTTAATTCACAGTTTCTTCATTCTAAAATGAAGTTTTGCTTTTTCGGTACTAGTTGTCGCCTTGCTTATATAGTTGCTAGCGTTCAAAGGTCACCACACGATACCGTAGCTCCATTTATAGGCAAAGTATGGTGTGGTAAATTCTTTCAATGGCTATATCTCAGCTCTACATTGATCTACGACTCTGAATACTTTACTACAAATTTGTGGATTGGTGATGAGCCATTGCTACAATGTTCCGCTGCATTGATCGATTTTAGTTCAAATTATCGATTTCAAACTGAAAAAAAAGGATTTTCTACTTGGTAGAAGTTTTCAGTACGAACTTCGGATCTTCGCTATTTCTCACCAAAATTTTACTAATGATATCTGCATCTCTGAGCTTTTGAATGACGGGTTGTACGAAAGTGAATGTCGAAAAATGATCAAAATATGACCTTCGTAAGGCGATGACGATGTACAAATGATATCTTCTGCAAACGTAAATCAATTGAGGGCGTGGTGATGTTTGCGATCAGGGTTCAACAAGGCCGACATTCCCGCAAAAAATCAGTTCGAAATGATGGAATATAATATCACTTTAGGTGAGTACCTACTTTTGTCCATCACTGTATATAATTTCATCTCCCACCTACCCATAAAAAGTTTCAGCTAAATTTTGTGGGTTAACCCAATAGTCAACCTTAGGCTAATGTATTAAATAATGCATATTTCATAAAAATTAGTTGCGAAAATGTTTTCTAATAGATGTGTCGTTAGAAAAGGAATTTTTGATCAAGTCAAGTCCATTTTGATCTCGATAAAACGAATCTGGATGTATTTCAGTAATATTTTGTACACAAGCTAGTTTTTAATGGTGCTAGGGAATTCTTTTAATCTTTCTTATTATCTGAGTACTTTTGAAAACAAATGAGATATTTGTAATCAGTACACTTGGCACTATTGAATTTTAAATATCTGTGATAGGGCAGCGAGAAAAATGTATTTTTGATACCTGAGAGGGACTCCGTGTGCGAAAAGTTGGGTTGTGATAAAGTAGAAAATAAAATTATGAAAAATATTCAGGGGTCAATGCTGACTCTCACGAGGGAAGGTCCCCAGGTGCCACGCTCCGTTTTGAATCGGACATA